TTGCTAATAGAATAATGAAAGCCCACATTATATACTCATGATTAATAAATGAAACTTTTATTAGCCAAGTAGCAGTTACACTGAGGCATTAGCTACATCATCATACAAAATAAAGCTACGGATGTGAGAATTGGCTCACAGCCTTGTACATGTTTCATACAAGAACGAACAGCCTATGAACAGTGAATTAGTGTTTTACCTCCTTCTTTACTGTGATGTATGTGTGTATTTAATTTTGGAGATTTCTTTCACTCACCCAAGACAGTGGTGTCATCAACTGAAGAAAAACTCCGACTACTCAGCATATCTTCATTAGTAACTAATAGGAATGATGTCGTTACTAAAACTGCATCATTAGTTAACAGTATTTGTGCCTGCTATAGTAAAGTGATGAACTATCCTACTGAGTTCACATGCAAATACATGAAAGATCATAAATAAATGAACACATAAAACTGTACTAGGGAACAAATAACATGTTATACAACACAATCATGTAATACACAATCAGACAAAAGGTATCTGAGGTACCACTTGTTTTCAAGATCTCTATGAGCAAAAAAAATTCTAAGTTTCTAAGGGTTAAAGTGAGGAGATGAGAGTCGGACACACTGAGGTTCCCTAACTAAGCTAAAGTTAGATTGTTATGAACTGGTCTCCAGTCAGTTCATAACAAACGATTGAGGGAGATGGTGGAAGCTGTAGCAAAAACTTCTCTTTATTTTCACATCAAGCTGTTTTAAAAATGGTTTGCAAACCACAAAGATAGCACTACTGAAGCCAGCCAACCATTGATGTGATCTGTTTGCGGTCTTACATTGATAATGATGAGAGACAGTAAAGTAAAAGGTACTTTTCTCATATCAAACAGTGCCTTCAAAATGCCTTGTGTTTCGAATGCAGCCAGGTGACAAGACAGTCCAGTGTGTGTGTGTGTGTGTGTGTGTGTGTGTGTGTGTGTGTGTGTGAGAATGCGTTCATATAGCGTCCGTTTTGTCATTATGAGAAGAATAAAGATATTTTTGGTTCACTAAGAAACTATGGTGGCACCAGTTAGCTTGTGGCCGGTCACTGCAGTCTAGGTAATTAATGGGAAACACTGCATTATAAGATGTGATAGTTTGTCTATACCAGTGACACTTTTTACAGTGTGAATTACATTAAACCTGTCAGTTTGCTGTTATTGGTTTACGCATGAAGCAATGTAATAGACCAAATCCACAAACTGGTCAGTGAGACTCACGTTGAGGATGAACCTCCAGAATCAGACAGAAGGAGAGGAGGATGAACAGAGCCATTTCACCATCACCAAGAGAGAAGAGAGCATCGAGACACTCAACGAGATCACAGAGCAGCGGGAAAATCACGACTCGTCACTTCTGGTTTTTCAACAGACAATTCATTTCCCCTTCCGCTTTTTATTTTCACCCTTGAACATCTCACACACCACTAAAGCTTTAATGTGTGAATATTACCTGCTCTGCAGCAACCTACCATCATTTACCATTTATACAGTTTACAGTGAAATAATATGACACCAAACTGTTCTGAATACAGTGTGTGTGATACTATCTGTTAAACATGCAAATGATTCACAAAAAACTGTCACGTCCACTTCCTGTTCTATCTGCAGCACCCCTACTCTCCCCTCATGAGGAGGAGGAACTCATGTTGTCCACCAGAGGACATCAAAGCTGTGCAATTGAACATTAAAATACAAAACATAAATTACAGTGTTTATAGATAGATAGACAGACAGACAGACAGACAGACAGACAGACAGACAGACAGACAGACAGATACTTTATTGATCCCGAAGGAAAATTAGCAGCCAGTATCAGTCACACAACACAGTACAGTAATAATAATAAGGATGAAACTATATAACAGGAAGAATAAATATAAAAAATCCTGTCTACAGTCATATGGAAATGGAAAAATACAACAATCTGGAATAATATTTATAACCTGAGATGAGAAAGGCAGTGCAATAATGACTGTATAAGGAGGAGCAGGTAACGCCATATAACGACAATACTGAATAAATATGTGCAGATATTGGTACCAAAATAAAGTGTATATGTGTGGAGTGTCCAGATGTGCAAGATGTGCAATAGGGCTACAGAAAGTGCACTATGTACAGTAAGGTGTCCATATGTGCAGATAGATAAAATAAACCTAAGATTTAGTATTAGATAAACCTATGATTTAACATGAGATTCAGATGCAGTCCTCATCTCTCCTCTTTCCTCCTCTCTTCTCCTCTGGCCCCACTGGGAAGAGTTTAAGAGCCTGATGGCTCTGGGGACAAAGGATCTCCTGAGTCTGTCAGTTGAGCAGCTCTGTGACAGCAACCTGTCACTAAACATGCTCCTCTTGTCCGTGATTTGTGCAGCGGGTGGCCATCATCCTCCATAACGGAGAGCAATTTGTGCAGTGTCCTTCTCTCAGCCACCTTGACCACAGAGTCCAGTTCCACACCGACCACTGACCCCGCTTGCCTGACCAGCTTGTCTAGTCGCATCTCGTCTCTCTTTTTCATGCTTCCGCCCCAGCACACCACAGCATAAAGACAGCTGGCAACCATGGTCTGATAGAACATCTGCAGGAGCTTCCTACAGATGTTAAAGGACCTCAGCCTCCTCAGGAAATAGAGCCGGCTTTGCCCCTTCCTGTACAGGATGTCTATTGAAATGTTTGTCAATATTTACATTTTATGAAACTGGAAGAGTTTTGTAAGATAAATTTCTGTGTGTTCTGAGATTTCACTGGGGGGAAAGTCCATTTATTTAGGAGGTAACTCCCCTAAAAAGAGTCTACAAATCTTTGGACACAGTCAGTCAGTCAGTCAGTCAGTCTATCTGTCTGTCTATATGTCTAAATATTTCCTCTTGAACTGAAACTTCACACATTGTTCACACAAACACTTACTCACTCATCTAAACAGCTTATCCTCCTGGGTTGCGGGGGTTGCTGGAGCCTATCCCAGCACTCATTGGCCAGATGGAAGGAAACACCCTGGACAGGTTACCAATCCGTCATACACTGTTAGAAATAAAGGTTCTGTGCAGGTACATTTTTCATTCATCAAGGTACAAACAGTGTAAATGTTCCCTCAAAGGTACAACAGTGGCTTTAGGGTCTGATTGTGAACCTTAAATAAGTTTTTCCAGGTGAAAAGTTTGTATTTGTACCTTTTCATAACCGAATGTTTTAAAACAGATCAATAAAGTAAAAAGTCCTGGAGGTGAGACGGGGTGTGTGGAGTCAGTACAGCTTAGATATCATTTCAGTGGATTATGGTACAGTTATGTTCCCTTGAGGGTACCACCCCAGTGACAAGAGGGTACCTTTTATTTCTGAGAGTGTAGGGCAGATCCACAGACACATACATTCACACCTAGGAGCAATTTAGCATATCCACCTGGCCTGACTTCATGTTATTGGACTGTGGGAGGAAACCCACACAAATACAGGGAGAACATGCAAACTCCACACAGCTGGGGAATCGAACCCAGGCCCATACTATTCTTCTGAAGAATATTGTTTTTATGTGAGTGGCTACAAACAGAGGCCTATTTTTGGTCTTCAACATAAGCTACATGGTGAGCATTCATGTCAAATTTTGTATTATAATACTCTGACAATTATATAAAATCAAGGCTATAAACAGACTTTGCTCTAAGTCACCCAAATACAGTGTTATTTTGAAAAGAGTAGCATAAAACACTGACCAAGCCAAATCTTTTGTGTGGCCTATGTAATACATTATGGGTAGTGTGTAAAAAAACATATCTTTCAGTATTTCCTACTTACATTTACCACATTTGTTTTGGTTTTCTGGCAATACACAGACTTGTGTATCAGACCCCCACTTGTTTGTATATTAACAAGGTGCCATTAAAGCTGTGATGGTCTAAATTGACATTGGTATTAAAGTAAGGTCACAAAAGGGAAATAATGTGTAAGTAAATTAATTCTTTCAGTTGAGCCAATTTGACACAACGGCATTCACAAGGAATTGTAAGGACTTTGTGCTACGTGTGAAGTCAGAACTCTTGAGTGTAACCCTCCAAAACACTGTTGTCGGAAGAAAACCTTGTATCTCTGAAATGGTAACTTTACAGGAGAAGGAAAAAACATACTTTACTTTTAATGTAAGTCAATGAAACCAGATTTTTTTCCAAGTCATTTGGGTCATTTCTTTTAGTCCATTCATCATGAAATTTACAAACAATCTAATAGGCAACAGGTACTTTCAAATTATGTTAAAAACTGAAAAATGTCAAATATGGAGATGGCGATAATGTATGAAGGTAGTAACAATAAGAAGGACAAAAACGATATTTATTTATCTAGAACTAAGAGCTTTAGACTGCATTAGAAAAAACACAGTCCTTCTGAAGCTTCACCAAGTGTCACAGGGTAAGTGTCAGTAAGTTTCCCATGAGTGTGTGAATGTGGTTTCTGTTGTGTAAATGTGTATGTGTATGTTCATGGTTGTGGGCTGACTGAAAGCTGAATGTGCACCACTGAACTCAAATTCTCTCTCTGACTTACTGTTTAAATGGTCCAGGTACCTCCAACTTTCCATCTTTCCTTGAAATAACTCTTAGAAATATGACAAAGTGTTGTTTGGGATGTCCAAAATCAATGTAAACAGAAAGTGAACTCCTAGTGCACTTTAATTGAATGATTTTAACTAATTTGCTGAAGGTTTTTTCTTTCAGTACCATTAACAGCAAAGTGAAAGAAGTTCTGGCTAAAACCCCTCACTTTTCAAAATCAATACAAATAATATTGCCAGTGTTAATTTACATAGGTAATACAGTCACTAAGTTATTATAGTAAAAATATGTCACCACACTGCAGAAATAAATATAATTTTTATTTATCTTTTTTTAAAGTGAAATGAAAGAAAATGCGCATTTCAACAAATTTGTTATGAACCACTCTAAATATTTAGTGTGGACAAAGTTATTTTAAAACACAAAGCGCAATAAAGGCAGCAATCTGCTATATATGTGTCTTACACAATATATGAATATATAATAAAAGGATAGCTTCGCTCACATTTCAGCCACACTGTATGAACTCATAAAAGTGCAAAGATATGTATCTTAGTATATTAAAGCATGTATTGCACACTATTAGTCAACTAGTGACAATAACAAGTATTTGCAATAGAAAACTGTTGATTCTGGAGTTATAATACTGTGAAATATATAAGACTAAAAAAGTAAAAGTAAAAGTATCATTACTTCTGTATCAGGCTGTAGACTGAATCTGTCTGTTTGGAGGCCACAGTGATGTCAGGGATGGTGCAGTATGTGTGATACACATCACTCTGAAAGTATGAAAGAAAACAGAAGGAGGTCAGGGGTCAGCACACTAAGTTACTAGTGAGTCTCACTCTTTAATATAGGAGTTGTCCTGTGTAGAAACAGTGAATTCTGCTCTAACTAGACCAGAAGAAAGAGATCACAAATTAAAACTTGCTTTGTCTTCCTGAGGCCCTGAATGAGCAGTGCAGCTGCAGCTGAGACAGAAATGTGAAACTGCATTTGCCTTTTGGCTCCAACCACAAGGAAATCAGTCTGTGGTTGAGTGTTTAGTTTGACGTGGAAGCCCTGACATCTGACAGTTTACACAGTGGCTAATAGCAAGTTTAATAACCTCAGCCTTCTTAGAGTTTTCTTTTCCCTTTTTACTGGGACCTGAAATTCAGATCATTTAGTTAAAGATATTTTTAGTTAGCAGATATTTTACTGCATAAAGTAGAGCAGAACGGTCCCACTTTATATTGTGTCTCTAGTAACTGTGTAGTTACACATGAATAACATATGCAACAACACTGTAACTACTAATGATTTAGCCAGTGTTACAGATGGATTACAGAAGTACAGCTTATGTAATTACACGTGTATCTTTTTGATACACGGCAGATCAGAAGTCTTTTCCAGCAGTTAAAGGAAGTATGTTTAACATAACATTACATTGATATTTTACATAATGACTGTGGAATAAGTCTTGTTGTAACCTAATCACATCACATTGATTTATGCCATGCTGTACCTTTATAACAACTATACTTTAAAATAAGTGGACAGTACCTATGTAGTTGTTATGTAGGTACTGTGCAATAATGAAGTGGTGATATAGACATTTAACAATGTATTTAATTTATTACATTTAATTAATGTAATAAAAGTTATGTTAAGATAAGGGGACGTCTGCTGTCCTGTCACATTACAGAATGGTTTAAAGTAGAAACTGGTTACAGTGTCACAGCACTAGCAACATAAATGCTAGCTAAATGTTAGGAAAGCTGGCAGATACAGTGTAAATAATGTCTCTCTTATTAATGTAAGTTATTACATCCTTCATTTTTAATGCTGGAAAAAAGACTTCTGAAAAAAACTGCTGTTCCAGTCTGATTACAAATGTAATTACATTTGTGTTATTACCCTTGTGTAATTACATGGGAGAGAATAGGCTGTTATACCTATGAAGATACACTTGTGTAATTACATGAGGCAAAATTGAAGTTGATACACGTGTAATTACATAAGGTGTACTTCTGTAATCCACCTGTAACAGTGACTTAATCATTAGTAATGTTGTTGTTGTGTTGTTGTTGTTGTTGTTGTTGTTGTTGCATATGTTGTTCACATGTAACTACATGTTTATTAGAGACACTTAATATAAAGTGGGACCAGCAGAACTGCTGACAGATTATCAACAAGATTCATCCTGAATCATGAAACTGATGTTTTCAAAAGGCAAACAAAAAATTTAGTTAGAAGGTTTTGATATGACGGCGACAGCAAGTCTGTGTGCTGAGAAAGAGAATGATGGCTTAATTTTAATCTGCTCACTTCCTCTTATCTCTGCAGTAGTTACATTACTCAAAAGTACAGCTGTGAGGATCTGAAAGTGCTGCTCCAAAAACTACAGCCTTCTGTAAAGAGTCTTAAGAAATTTCGGTTCTTGTTATTTGATTTGGTTTGTAAGCGCAAAATATATAAACTCCAGTGTTTCTGGAAGGTTTTAACACATTTATCTGCTGCAGATGGTCTTACCTGGGGGCTCAAGTGGAGCTGCTATTGAGGTGATCTCTGAGTACGTCACAGCTTGTGAATCAGACTGGACAACAAAATAAAATAAAAACACAGAACTTTGTAGAAACTTTCAGGACTGTAAAAACACAGCATTAAAAATAAAACTTTTTGTAATGTTAAATATGAGAATTTAAAGCAGTCAAAATGTTTTAACAATCTCTTCAAGCAATAATTATTTTAAGTATTTTTTTCAGAATATTTCTCACAATTCTGTTTATAGTTCAAAACTTACATCATCCATGTTTTGAATGGGCATCGTACTTCCTGCAAAAACAAAAAATAACTGAAAATAAGAAATCTAACAAGAATTATGAAAATGTCCACTGATAAGTTTCCCAAAGACATCAGATAGAAAATAATCTTTATTTAGCGGAATTAAAAATCTTATGCTGAACTTCCACAAGAAGATTCAAGCTACGGCTTTAATAAATTTCAATATGTAATCAGAATATTTTGAACTATATTTGTTAACTTCTTTATATAGTCTGTGTTTCTATCTAAGCTGTTTTCTGGTCAGTGGGGTTATGTATCCCCTGAGAGAAGGCGTATTCTGTCCTGCCCTCTGTCTGCTACAATACAGGTGACAACATAGTTATTCTCAACACCAAACCGCTCTGCTTCACCAGCATGGTTCTTTCAGTTACAGCTGCAATTTACCTGCATGAGGCAAAATATAATATCTGCAGAATGATTAAGCCAATGTACTGATGGGTTTGCTGTAGAAGGATGCATTTTATCAGACAGACTGACTAAACAGTGGCAGCAGAATTATGTTAAATTTCATGTACACATGGGTGTGGGCAATCATACACATCAGTGTGAGGGGTCAACTATTATTTCACAAATGCTGGGAATTAGCGAATTGGAATTGTCCACTTTATCAGCTCCAATGACCATTTAGGAGCTTTTTGTAGTTCTCCAGTTACAGACTGTAGTCCATCTGTTTCTCTGCATACTTGTTACTAGGGGTGGGAATCTCTAGGCACCTCACGATTTGATTCGATTACGATTCAGAGGGCTACGATGCGATTATAAAACGATTATCGATGCATCTCGAGGCATCTTTTTTTTCTATATCGCATTTATATTTACTCACTGTGTGAACTCAAGTTTCGAGTTCAAGTTCACTTTATTTGTCATTTGCACAACATGTGAAGACATTTATGCATTGAAACGCTTGTGATGAGGCTCAGATAGTCAGTCTACAGAAAGGAAATAAGGAAAAATATAAAAATGCAAGAAAAACCAACTGAATTATATTAAATATACAGACATATAGACATATAGAGACAATATACATTCTAAAGTGACTAAGTGACTCGGTGGTGTTGTTATTTAAAGTGGCTTGGTACCTTTAAAGCAAAGTATTTGTAATGATCCATAATGAATTTACTTCCAATATCTTTTTTAATTAAACAAATGGAAGTGATGTGGTAAGTGAACTAGAAGGCTCAGTCAGTGCTCTTGTTTAGAGCACGAGAAGCTGATTAAAATGCGATAAAATGCGCAGTTACTTTAGTGATTTTATAACTTCGGTTTTGGTCTCGTTGTAGAGACGGGGGGATCGCTGTGTCAGTAAAGTATCTTTGAGATGGGTCGTGTGCAACATAGCGCGAAAGCCGTGTTTCGCAACGACTGAGAACCGGCATGCAGACTGCAGGTCACATAGCAGCGATGCATTATTCGCATTTATAAGCAGCGCAGTTGGTTTGCTGGTCCGTTAAATCTGCAACGAGAGACTGTCACACACTAAAAACTGGCGAAGATGAAGTCAGCTTATCTTTCGAATTCTCCCGTTCCACCTTAAATGGTGCCGCATTTACATTCGGCGCCTCAGTTAGAATTTAAGGTGGAACGGGACAATTCGAATAAGAAGCGACTTCAGCCTCGTAAAACAGTCGAACGTTGAGAGATATTTAACTGATCTACTTCTGAGGAAAGGTTTTCTGGTGGAGATGGGAGGAAATCGGCTATAGGCGAAGCTTAAAGCAGAGTAAAGTAAATCTGCGCTCTCGTTTATATTGTTTAGTCTATACTAGGACATTATCGCATACTGAGACATACTGGACATTAAATGTTGTGGCTGCCAGGGTGGTTTGATTTTTGTTGAAAGGACAAAATGTTAACATTTGTGTTGTGACTCCTGATCTAACCTTGCTTTTAATGCAGAGGGAGCCGGTCGGATTTCTCACTCATCCAGTAGTGTTTTTGTTATGTGCCGCCACAGACTGTCCGGGCGCTGCACTTTCCCACTTTCAAGTTCCGCCTTTTGCGTTCCGTCAACATTACGTTATAAATTAATATTTCAAAAATAGATTTTTGACATTTGTGAATCGATTCAGAATCGTTCACGTCCGCATCGCGATGCATCTAAGAATCGAGTTTTCCCGCACCCCTACTTGTTACCCTGTTCTTCAGTGGTCAGGACCCCACAGGACCTTCACAGAGCAGGTACTATTTGGGTGGTGGGTCATTCTCAGCACTGCAGTAACACTGACGTGGTGGTGTGTTAGTGTATGTTGCGCTACTGCGAGTGGATCAGACACAGCAGACGGTTTTACCTGGGGGCTCAAGCGGAGCTGCTATTAAGGTGATCTCTGAGTACGTAACAGCTTGTGGATCAGACTGGACAAAAAAATAAAAACACAGAACTTTGTAGAAACTTTCAGGACTGTAAAAACACAGCATTAAAGATAAAACTTTTTGTAATGTTAAATATGAGAACTTAAAGCAGTCAAAATGTTTTAAAATAATTATTGCTTGAAGAGATTGTTAAGTATTTTTTTCAGAATATTTCTCACAAAATTCTGTTTATAGTTCAAAACTTACATCATCCATGTTTTGAATGGGCATCGTACTTCCTGCAAAAACAAAAAATAACTGAAAATAAGAAATCTAACAAGAATTATGAAAATGTCCACTGATAAGTTTCCCAAAGACATCAGATAGAAAATAATCTTTATTTAGCGGAATTAAAAATCTTACGCTGAACTTCCACAAGAAGATTCAAGCTACGGCTTTGATAAATTTCAATATGTAACCAGAATATTTTGAACTATATTTGTTAACTTCTTTATATAGTCTGTGTTTCTATCTAAGCTGTTTTCTGGTCAGTGGGGTTATGTATCCCCTGAGAGAAGGCGTGTTCTGCCCTGCCCTCTGTCTGCTACAATACAGGTGACAACATAGTTATTCTCAACACCAAACCGCTCTGCTTCACCAACATGGTTCTTTCAGTTACAGCTGAACCTGCATGAGACAAAATATAATATCTGCAGAATGATTAAGCCAATGTACTGATGGGTTTGCTGTAGAAGGATGCATTTGACAGACAGGCTGACTAAACAGTGGCAGCAGAATTATGTTAAATTTCATGTACACATGGGTGTGGGCAATCATACACATCAGTGTGAGGGGTCAACTATTATTTCACAAATGCTGGGAATTAGCGAATTGGAATTGTCCATTTTATCAGCTCCAATGACCATTTAGGAGCCCTTTGTAGTTCTACAGTTACAGACTGTAGTCCATCTGTTTCTCTGCATACCTTGTTACCCTGTTCTTCAGAGGTCAGGACCCCCATGGACCCTCACAGAGCAGGTACTATTTGGGTGGTGGGTCATTCTCAGCACTGCAGTGACACTGACGTAGTGTTGGTGTGTTAGTGTGTGTTGTGCTGGTCTGAGTGGATCAGACACAGCAGTGCTGCTGGAGTTTCTAAACACCTCAGTGTCGCTGCTGGACTGAGAACCAAAATGTCCAGCGAACAGCGTCCTGTGGGCAGCATCCTGTGACCACTGATGAAGGACTAGAGGATGACCAACACAAACTGTGCAGCAGCAGATGAGCTATCGTCTCTGACTTTACATCTACAAGGCGGACTGACAAGGTAGGAGTGTCTAATAGAGTGGACAGTGAGTGGACACAGTGTTTAAAAACTCCAGCAGCACTGCTGTGTCTGATCCACTCTGATCCATAGTGGTGAGTGCAGTGCTGAGAATGACCCACCACCCAAATAATGCCTGTTCTGTGGTGGTCCTGGAGGGGTCCTGTCCATTAATGAATGGGGTAAAGGTGGGAGTACAGTCTGTAATTGTAGCACTACAAAGTGCTCCTATATTTTCAGTGGAGCTGATAAAATGACCAGTGAGTGTAGAAACAGGGAGGTGCTCAGTGAGTATTTATACTGTATGCATACAGAAACCATCTGAAACATGCTCTATTGTATTGAACTCATGAAAATCTATAAACAGTTATGTCAAAAATTAATAAATTACTTGCTACTACTTTATTAGTGAAGGAGCAGGTGAGTGTTTGTTCACAATTAATCATTTTATACAGGGACATGTAGAAACGCCAGTTTCATTTCCAGCCCTTACTTATAATGCTTGAAAGTGTTTTTCCATAATTAGGGGGAAATTTTTGAGTTTCATATCAAACCCTAGACTGAAATTGATTCCATGATGTACATGACCTGTTCTACTATATAAATTACCTGATGGCTGGGAGGGTGCGGCCACTGTGGTAATCAGTGAGTAGGTTCCAGCAGCTCCTGGACTGCACTGAGTAACAGAGAATACATTTGTATGCTTAGTGAAGCTGATCTGAAAGATTCATTGATTTGACTTGTGGCAAACAGAACAATCTAATGACAGAAATGCTACTCACTTCCTCCACACTGAGCACGGCCATCATGTCTCCTGCAAAACAATCATTTCAGCTGACCATGGAAGTGTTCTTAGTTTTAGTATTTATATTAATAACAGTAGACATTTTATTAAGAAAGCTTTCAAAGGCCAAACTTACCCTGATCTCCAATGGCTGAACTGACTTTAGGCCTATAAACAATATATACATATATCAAAGCTTTCTGCATTTCTATGAACTTACAAAAACATAAGCAGGGATATTAAACAAGTTAAATGATTGTAGTTAATTACTGTACAAATCACCTGAGAGTTTCTAACTGGCAGCCCTCTGCTTTTCTGCAGTGGAAGAAAGTACAGCATTTTCAGTGATCAGCTTAATATTTACCATCATACCACACAGTTAATTCTACACAGTCCAGTTGTGAAACTAGACAAAGCAAATTGAGTCAAATGGTTTTTCTTCACTGTTTGCACCAGTGAATCTCTGATGGACTTACTGCAGAGAAAGATGACCACTCCAACCAGTACAGCACTGGCACTGATTACTGACAGCACTACGACAAGCAGTGTTCCTGAATGATAATATGAAAATATGAACGTTTCAGTGCAAACATTTCCATCATTATTACACAAATCTGCAGATAGTTTTGTCAGCAGCTTTGAATAAGTAATATTAGCTGTACTGGACTAAAAAGACAATGATATAATAATAAAACCCAAATCATTACAGAAACTCTCCTACATCACCACTATGATAGCCTTTTCTTTGCAGTAGCTTTAGGAAAACATGCTAACATGTTAAAGCTCTAAAGCTCTAAAAAGCACAGACTGGATGGACTAAAGTAAAAATCAGATAGAAACCCAAAGAAAAGGGCACATTATTTTCAATATGTCAAACTAAGCCAATAAAGTGAAACTGTGCACAAAATGTACAGAAAGTGTGTCTCAGTAGAGGACGTACTTATTTTCACTCAGAAAAACAACAAAAAACAACAGAATGTGTCATGTGACCAAATTTGGTGTTCAAACTAACACATGAGACTGTATGTATTTATTTCAGATTTAAATTGTGGTTAAACGTGACATTAATGGATGGTAAGCTCACTCACTTCTGACTTTATGGTTATTTCACATTTTTTTTGCCAAGAAAATCAGGGCAGTATGAATGTCTCTGCACGAATCTGAATCTACTAGTTATTCAGTTATTTACCTGCTGTAGGATGTTTTCCTGAGGTGGCATTCGCTGTTACAGAGAATGATGCAGAAATGAGTAAAATAAGTCAAAATGTGGTTGTAAATATTGGAGAGAGGATTTAGTGACATAGTTCTGATGATCTGTAATCATTATAGTGATGGTTACCTTGAGTCATTACAGCTGTAAAATTCGTTAACTTCATAAATTATCACACACATCTATCAACATTAGTAAGTTTCTATGTACAGGACCTCTATCAATAACTGATAGTACAAGTTGTGGGCATTTCTGTTTCTTCATGTTAACATTTTACTGTAAGATTAATCTATAAATACAACTAGGAGTCACCAGTGGATGAAACCATCAAAATCCTAGTGTAGAGCAGGAGAACTGAGGATGAAGCTGTTGAGAATAAATTCAAACATCTGCACAGAACACATATTTAAGAGGTAATGGGATGCAATACATAAGAGAATAAGACTTCTGAAAAGGCTGTTTAATGTATAATTGCATCATAATTGCAAAGCCATTGAGTCATTATCCTTTATGAAGATCTTTATTCTGAAATGTAATATTGACAGCCGGTAAAGTGACACACTTTTTGGAGGATCTGTTAAATTCTGGCGGCGATGGGTAACTTGGTTCCTTATAGCTAGAGGAACAAATTAAACTAATGACATAAGAAACGATGTTTGGGACAAAATGTACCCTATGAATAAGAGATTACTGGCTGTCCTCCACAGTAATATTTGAAGACTTTCAAAGATGTGAAAGATCTTTTTTTATGATTTAATGATTTATGATTTTGATTTATGCAGAATAAGACTGGATGCTTGCAAACTATTTAGCAATTTATTTTCAGTCTAGCAATATTTGAAGCAATAACTCACTGGCTGTAGTTTGCAATTTGGTTACAAAAGTCCAACTGGAATCTACAGGTAACCCTGTTAAAGGTGACAGGACATCTCAATCAGATACACACTGCATAGCTTATAAGAAGGAGTTATTAAAGCGTTAAAGTGTTTAGAGTTGGAGAATTTGGAGGTGCTATAATTGTTACTCTCTAGTTGTTGGGCCTTTCGCGGTGATGAGACGTGTAGAGGAAACTAGAGAAACTGCACATATAATACACAATACATTACAAAATGTAGGGCATTGTAAGTAGCCTGTTGTAGCTGAGGGATGATCTGACCTGCAGTAGATTTCTCTTCTGTTATGATTGGCTGTGTTGGTACAGGAATCAAACCTAAAAGAAACACAAACATGTAAGAATAAAAAAATTACTCAATCTTTAACGTAATGTACAAGATGTTTATAAGATAAACTCACTAAAATTATAAATTAATACACATACATATAGATCTAACTACTTATGCGATGTTTAACTAAAAGTAATTAAACCTGGCTAATTTACAATGTATGAGATGATGTACTTACTCGATATATCATATGTGTCACTCATTGGAGAGCGGACAGACGGGTCAGAGTTTAGTGAATAATCACAGCTCAGTTCTCTGCTCTCTACTGACTGCAGACGATTCAACAGGTCAGTTTTAGATGATGTAAAAATACAAATCCACTCCCCAGATCTCCCTCTTCTAGATTCTCCCTTTAGGTACAGCAGGTGTCCAGTGTAGAGATTACATCTAAAATCAGCTCTTACTGACCCTGACAGCGGTATTTCACACACAGCTGTGAACTCTTCATACTGACTGTCATAACTGACACTCATTTTTGGTTTCTCATCTGCAGAGAATAAATAACAATGTAAAAGATAATTGGTAACTGAACAAACCATCAGACTCCTTGATTTTAAGCCTTTCAGATTATTACAAATGGTTTGATTCAAGCAGACAGTGATGCTCATGAACAAAACTCAGTCAGCCACCTACCCAGGACTGTGACTGTAGCAGGTAGAGAGAGAGAAGAAGGCTGAGGTAGAGAAACATCTGCATCATACAGACCCACCATCAAACAGTTCACACAGGATATAACAATATCAGCTCATTTCTGAATACAGATTATATTGTAATATAATCATCTGTCTGACACAAGCAGCTCTACAAACATCTAGAATTAGAAGAATTCATCACAAGCGTCTGATTGTGTCACTGAACACCATCACATTATCAGATGTTACAGTTCATCCACACCAGTGACACTTTTTACAGTGCGGACTATGTTAAAGCTTTCAGGTTGCGGTTATTTGTTTACTCTAAAAACAACGTAAAGAATCAAATCCACAAACTGGTCAATGAGACTCACGTTGAGGATGAACTTCCAGAATCAGGCAGAAGGAGAGGAGGATGATCAGAGCCATTTCACCATCGCCAAGAGAGAAAAGAGAAGAGAGAAGAGAGACACTTGACTTAGACAGTTCACAGAGCGACAGGAAAACCGCCACTGATCACTTCTGGTTTTAAAACGGAAAATTAATTTCCCCTTCTGCCCTTCTAACCTGAAATAATTTCCTATTTATACAGTTTACAGTGAAATAATGACACCAAGATTTCCTGAAAACAGTGCAGTGGTTTGTGTAGTTCAGCAGAGTGACTCTCTGTCCAACACACGAATAGCAAAAAACTGACAGACTGTAAGTAGAAAAACTGATTTCTAAGACATTACATACAGACCCCCAGCGGATGGATATTTAATTCAGTCACATCCACTTCCTGCTCTATCTGCACCTCCACCACTCTCCCCTCGTAAGGAGGAACTCATGTTGTCCACTAGAGGACATCAAAGCTCTGACCTTTTACATTAAAATACTGTTATATAAAATACATATAGACAAGTACAGTGTTTACGTACAGCATCCTATAATACAGAATTGCACTGTTGTTCATCAGCTTAATGTTACTCTGAGAATATATATATATATATACACACACACATACACATAATTATGCAATTCATACATACAGCTATAGGAAAATCCGTTACATAAAGCCTGGAAATAGATATTTTTCTGGGGGGGGGGGGATTTTTTTATGGGGAAAAAAGTGTCTCCAGGTGGTAAAAGTGACATTTTAAATGTAAAAGCATATTCTGTATACAGATTTTCCAAATTCCAATGAACAGTGATGAGTTTATATCAGCTTTTCATCAGCTTAATGTTACTCTGAGAATATGAAAGAAATCAATATATATTGTCTTTAAAAGATTTTATCTCACTGAAACGCTTGATTTCATTCATATTCTCAGAGTAACATTAAGCTGATGACCAACAGTGCATTTCTGTATTACAGGACGCTGTATGTAAACACTGTACTTGTATTTATATGTTATAACAGTATTTTAATGTTAAAGGTCAGAGCTTTGATGTCCTCTAATGGACAATATGAGTTCCTCCTTATGAGGGGAGAGTGGTGGGGGTGCAGATAGAACACTGAGATGTGACACTGAATAAATATATATATATATATATATATATATATATATATATATATATATATATATATATATATATATATATATATATATTCAGCTCTATATATAAAGCTATAGGAAAATTTGTTACATAAAGAAATTACAATTATTAATATGCACAGATTTTTTTAATGAGGAAAAAAGTGTCTCCAGATGGTAAAAGTGACATTTTAAATGTATATAAAAGCATATTTTGTATACATATTTTTCCAAATTCCAATGAATAGTAATTAGTTTATATCAGATTAAAATGAATGTCCAGACAGAGGAAGTGTCCTACTTCTGTCTCTGTATATTCATTTATAGATCAGTGTGGTCACTTCACAGAACATAAAACACAGTGAGCCTTTTGTAAGGAGGTGCTCAGTGCCGCCTTCTGCCAGCAAGGGCAGCATGGCGCTCGTCTAGGGCAACCTCCACCAAGGACTCCAATTCCCAGAAAGCTCTGGGCTGATTGCCTAAATGTTATTCAGCTGGAGGAGCACCTATTTAAACCCCAGAGACACTCAGGGAAGCGCTGCACCTTTGTAGAGGGTGGCTGGTAACGGTACCAAACAAAGAGAAATGAGAAAAGTTAAGAGGTAAGGAGAAAAGAAAGAGAGAGAAACTGTTCCAAAGCAAGGAGAAAGGGAGCTGTAAAAGAAAAGAAAAAAGACAAAGGTCCAAACCAAGGAGTAAAGGAAAAGAGAAGAAACAAATCAAGATAATAAAGTAAATGTCTTTTCATTTGGGTTCTCCCTGTTATACCTTCCCCTTTGTTGGAGTACACTGTGGTAGCGTCTCCTTTGTTTGAAGTTTCCCTTTCCATAGAAGGGCCTACCGGTGTTTATGCTCATGAGTGTGTGGTGCAGTGGTGAAGCTCCCTTCCCCGGTTGCTGACCACAGCGGTTGGACTGAGTCAGCCAAGCTTCCACAAGCACTTCAGTATTGCTCTCTAAGTTCCATACACCGACCCAATTTCTGAGCTGCTGAGCTGATGTTAAGTGTTTATATTGGTTGAACTGCAGCTGAAATGCTTTTGGTGATATGAATTGTGTAGAATTGAAGTGTAACCACCATCCCATAGACTGCTGTTGGGCTAGAAGAGTCGGAGCGCACATTACGTTGCAGTGCATGCTGGGCAGTGTAGTGCAGTGCAGGCTAATATTAATAGAAAATTAAAATAGTTTTGTGGGCCGGGTAGGATTGTGTCATGGGCCTGATCTGACCCGCGGGCCTTGTGTTTGACATATGGGGCGTAAACAGTCATCATCAGCATCTATAATCGGAAGAATCTGAAGTTTAACCATTGATTTCCTAGAAAGAAAAAAAGTAAAAAAAAAAGAAATGCGGAGGCAGTTTTTGATTGATTAGATGTGTTACTGCTCCATTGATTAATATAATGGTCACACTTTATTTGGATGGTCCCCTATCGATGATCTACAAAAAATTTAATAATTGACAAACCTTCTGGTAATATTCAGTTATTATGAACAACGTTATGGTTAGGCTTAGGTTTAGGAGTAGGAATAGGTTTTGCCTTCAGGTTAGGGTTAAGATTAGGATTAGGGTTAGATTTAGCAGAATCTTCCACACTCAACTTCAAGTTCAGTTGCATTTATTAGATATTTAGTTGAATGTTACAGAAATATATACCGAGCATCTACAAAGCATCTACAGTGGACAATGTGCAGGTCCAGATGGTCAGTCCGATCAGGCCAGTAGCACTGACACATGGTATTAGAGACCCACCACACTGTAGAACTGTGAGCTGCTCTCATGAGATTAAAACCATGTCACAGGACTGACCACTGAGGACCTGAAAAGACGTCCTGACCATAATTACAGCAGAGCTTCAGTATAAAATGTAAATATTAATATCAGTTATGGAAAAAAAAGTCACTCATAGTCTTTCTCTCTTCTATTATGATTGGTAGAGCTGATGAAGGAACATCTGGAGAGAATGCTATTTTAAGGTCCAGTGGCTGCTTACATCAGACATCTTAAGCTTTTATCTTTAGTTAAATTCTTAA